GCTGATCCAGCGCGGCGCGATCCGCCGTCATGGTGCGCCGTCAACGCTGATCCAGCGCAGCGCTGCATTAGTGGCCGCCGTCACCATGGGTTGCAACCAGCGGCTGGCTGCCATGCTGCTGCAGGGCGGCGCTGACGTGGAGTCGAGCAGCCACGGCACCACTGTGTTGATGGACGCCGCCTCCCAAGGCAACCTACCTGTGGTCGAATTGCTGTTGCGGCATGGTGCGAGGGTCAACCCCACTTACAGGGTAGGAGATTCCCCACTCGTGCTCGCCGCCGGCGGCGGACACATGTCCGTAGTCGACACGCTGCTGCGGCACCGCGCGGAGGTCAACTACATGAGGGTCACTGAGGGGGAGTGCAGCTTCACTGCTCTGATGAATGCGGCCTACCACGGCCATCCGATGGTCATGGATCGACTGCTGCTCGAGGGTGCCGACCCGCACTTGACCGATGCGAAGGGCAGGAAAGCACTCGATAAGGCCAAGGCGCTGGGCAACACGGAGTGTGTCGAGGTGCTCATGGAGCACTCTCGGAGGCATTGCGGAGCGCTGCTGGCAGAGGAGGAGGCGGAGAAGGCTGCCCAGGAGAGCAAGAAGGCCAGAAAGAAGAAGAAGAAGAAGGCGGGCAGCAGCGGCGAGGCGGGGCCTTCGTCGCAGGAGTGCGAGCTGCAGGCGCCGGCGGAGGAGGCGTCTACGGCGGAGGCGGCGGCAGCGGCGGCGACGGCAGCTGTGGAGGTGGAGCTTGCTGTGGCGCTCGAGGAGAGCACGAGGCTGACGGGCGAGGCGGCGCGGGCGGCTGAGGAGCAGGCGCCGTTTGCCGCGCCGGCTGGTGCAGTCGCCGCGGCCTCCGACGCCCAGCCTGCTCCGACGGAGACGCCAATGAGGGAGACGCCGCCGCCGGTTGCAGTCGTCTCGCTGGCCGACGCGCGCTTCGACACGGGCCGACCGGCAGTGCCCGAGTCGTCTCTCGGCGGCGAGACTACGTGCATAGTGTGCTTCACGCGGCCGAAGAACCACCTCGCAGTGCCGTGCGGCCACCAGTGCGCGTGTGGCCCTTGCTCTGCTAAGATGCCCCAGTGCCCATACTGTCGCGCACCGGTGATGGTGTGGATGGATTCCTCTCGGATCCGATCCGTATAACGCTGACGTAGCCCCGTTTCCCGGTGTTGGGAAGTTGAGGTAAGGTAAGGTAAACTTCTCCACACACACGAGGTGGTGGGGCAAGGGGGGGCAACCCTCGCGTCTCCACGTCTGACGACAGGAGCCCCACGGCATTCAAAGTGCAAGGCCCAGTCGTGCGCGTGCGGCGTGGGTGGGAAGCGTTGAGAGGTCGTATGTGCAGCGAGGTGTTGTGAGTAGCCGTAGTGAGAGGGTGCATTCAGTCTACATGCACATGTGTGACGAATAAAACAACGTGTGCTGTGCGCCGTGTGTCCTGGCGTGTCCGGTGTCGTAACCTTACTTCACGACGTCTGCACGCGCCTCGGCGTCCCGGAGAGCGCCGTCTGCGCTCTCTCTCCACACAATCCAGACTCTCTCTTTCGTTCGACACTGTTTTTACACGACAGTCGACTGTCGGAGCCTGGATCCCTAGTGAACGCCTCTGCTGCGGGGGTCAAACACGGACAGTAGATTGTGGACATGACTCGGATGACACTTGACGCTTGAGTCTTGACGCAGGATGGTGGATGGACCCACCAGCCAGTAACACTGCACGAGCCAGGCTCCACCAAAGCAAAACACGGGGAGTACGGCCTCGGCGTCCGGCCTCACCGGCTCATGCCTCGGCCATCTCCGCCCGCGCACTTTGGCGACGGATGCACGGCGCTGTCCAGCTCCCACTCTGCGGGCGTCTTTGCGGCACCTGCGGGCGTGAGGCAGGAGGGCGCCTCGCTGCGAGACGCGGCGCCTCGCGCTGCGAGAGGCGTGCGCGCGCTCGGAGGGCGCTCGGCCGAGAGGCGCGTGTGCGGGCGCTCGATGCTGAGCCTTGGCGAGGTGCGCGTCACTCGGGTGTCGTGTGCGGGCGGTCGAAGCAGGTCGGAGGCTACTGCGCGCACCAATCTCCAGGGAGTGGAAGCCGAGGGAGCCGTCGGGCTCGCAGACGGCGGCGTTAACCGCGCGGTGTCTCCCGACCAGCCGCTTTCCCTCAAACGCCTCCGACACGACCACAACCTTGAAGTGCGACTCGTCCTCCTTGCGGCCTGCGGATCAGTCGGGAGGAGAGGGAGGCGCTGGGTGCGCGCGCGTCAACGCGGCGGCGTGTGCGGTGGCGCACGGACAGCGCGGGCGGCAGAGGCAGTGGGAGAGAGCATTTTGCGCGCGCCATGCGACGTGTTTTCGACCACGACGTGCAGCGGCGCAAACGCGCTCGCGAGCCTCTCCTCAATCACGGCCTGGCGCGGGCCGCTGAAGGCGCGGGTCGCGCGTCCCAAGGCGAGACGCGCAGCCGGGCCGCGAAGATGGGCGGGGGCGAGGCCGAGGCTGGCGCCCAAGCAGGCCAGCATATGTAGACAACACAACCCCCGACAGGCAAAAAAAGAAAAACGCAAGACGGCACGCCGCCACCACACAGGGATTTCAAGGAGAGGGGTGTGGTCCGCTTTTCTCGCGATGTCCACCCCACCGCGACGCCGCTCGCGCCGCCTCGCCACCGCCGCCACCGCCGCGCCCTCGCCGCGCACGCCGCCCTTCCGCCTCCTCGACCTTCCCACGGACCTCCTCGTGCGCGTTGTCTCTCGCTGCGACCCCGTCGACATCGCTCGCGTCGCGGCCGTCTCGCTGCTCTTCCACGCCTCGCTTGCGCTGGAGGGCATCCGCTTGTGGGCGCAAGAGCGCGGCTTCGAGCTGCCGGCGCAGCCAGAGGACGAGAGCTGCGCTGTGCGGTGGCTGTGCTTCGCTGCGCTGATGTGCGAGTCCAACCCGCCGGCGAGGGCGGCGGCAGGCATATGGCACAGCCTCTTCATCGACGGCGAGGGGCGGCTCTCGGCATGCGGCGACGCCACGGATCGCGCAGGGCTGCTCGGGCACGGCGATGAAGTGACGCGGCTCAACACGCCGACTCGCCTCCCTTCCCCGCTGGGAGGCGAGCGCGCCGTGAGTGTGTCGGCGGGAGGGGAGCACAACCTCTCCCTCGCCGCCGACGGCACCGTCTGGAGCTGGGGCGTAGGGGGGCAAGGCCGGTTGGGCCACGGCGACGATCAGGCCCAGTGGCAGCCGAAGAAGGTCGAGGCCTTGGCTGGCCAGCGCGCCATCGCCGTGGCAGCTGGAGGTCTGCACAGCCTCGCCCTCACCGCCGACGGAGCCGTCTGGAGCTGGGGCGTTGGAGCCCTTGGCCAGTTGGGCCACGGCGACGAGCAGCGCCAGTCATTGCCGAGGAAGGTCGAGGCCTTCGCTGGCCAGCGCGTCGTCGCCGTGTCGGCTGGAGTCAACCACAGCCTCGCCCTCACCGCCGACGGCAGCGTCTGGAGCTGGGGCTATGGTCTCTACGGCCGGTTGGGCCACGGCGACGAGCAGGAACAGAATCTGCCGAAGAAGATCGAGGCCTTTGCTGGGCAGCGTGTCGTCGCTGTGTCGGCGGGATTGGCGCACAGCCTCGCCCTCACCAACGATGGCGCTGTCTGGAGCTGGGGCATTGGCGAAGATGGCCAGCTAGGCCACGGCGACGAGCAGGACCAGCTGCTGCCCAAGAAGGTCGAGGCCTTTGCTGGCCAACGCGTCGTCACTGTGTCGGCTGGAGGCGACCACAGCCTCGCCCGCACCGCCGACGGCGCCGTCTGGAGCTGGGGCGGTGGGGGCGAAGGCCAGTTGGGCCACGGCGACGAGCAGCGCCAGCCTCTGCCCAAGCAGGTCGAGGCCTTCGCTGGGCAGCGCGTCGTCGCCGTGTCGGCTGGATCATTCTACAGCCTCGCTGCCACCACCGACGGCGCCGTCTTGAGCTGGGGCGGTGGAGGCTTTGGCAAGCTGGGCCACGGCGACGAGCAGCTCCAGCTGCTGCCCAAGAAGGTCGAGATGTGGGCGCCGGGGCAGTGAGAAGCCCGCGCAGTTGGACAAGGAGGGGATGCTCAGGCTTCTCGCGGAGCTCAACGAGGAGAGGATTCGGTTCGGCGTCACGGCTTTGTCGAGCCCGAGGGTGGACGCGGCAGCGACGGCCGCGATCTGTGCCGAGAGGTTCACCGCCCCGGAGTGCGGAGAGCCAGTGTGTTAAACCGTAGAGCCGCAGGCTCTCCGTCGTTTGGTGCATACCAGCATGGTGGCACAGGCAGGTGGGGCTGGCTATTGCTGCATGTTTTTACCAAAAAGGAATGCCCACACGCGAGAGCGTGGCGCGCCAGAGATCGCTGCCAGCAGGCTCTAGCACTATCTAGATAGCCAGATACAGGGGGGGGCGGCGCGCGGCGGTCACTCCCTAGCTTCCTGCTTCCTCGAGCTCGACACTCAATATCGCTTCTATGACTATCACTCCCGTCCGGCGTCACGAGCCGCCCTGCTGCGTGCGGTGTTTCGACACCTCCGTCGCATCCTCGCTCGCCGCGCCCCAGAGAGAGGAGCCGACGCGCACCGTGCGCCCCCACACAGAGGTAGCCGACGCGTGCGCCTCCTGCGCGGCGCGGATCTTCGCAACCTCGTCACGCGTCAAATGCAGCACCGTGGCGATGGCGGGGAAGAGCGCCTAGTTGATTGCGAGTTCGGAGGTACTGATGAATTTGCGTGTGTGCAGCACCGTGGCCGGGGGTGCTGGCGGGGAAGAGCGCCTCGTGCTCCGACTCGAGCTCCATGTACCGGATCATCAGCGTGCGCACACATACGCCCGCTCCTCGCGCCAGCCGCCGCTCTCCTGCGCCACCGCCGCGTCCGCCTCGCGCCGCACCTGGCTCGCTCTCGCCTCGACCGCCGCCCTCTCCGCACGGCTCGCCTCCGCCTCCGCCTCCGCCTCCCTCAGCCGCCCCTCCAGCCTCGGCTCATGCAAACGGTTGGCTTCCTCACGACGTTCTCACTATGGCGGCGTGGTATCTCAAGCAGAACCCAAAGGAAATTGCAATTAAATTGGCGGTGAGCATATCCTTGGCGAGGCGGAGATTAAATCCCTCGTGTGCTCCGCCAATCCGGAGGCCCCCCCCCCCCCCCCCCCTTCCCCGACCCCGCCCTAAACGCCCCCGACAGCGAAGCCCGCGCCGCGCGCGGCACCACCGCCGACTCTACCTCCGATCCCAGGGCCTAGGCGGCCCGCCATGAAATCTAGCCGTGTGTGCTGGCGTCCGGGTCCCAGCGGGTTTCACGTAACAAGTACACACGGCGGTTGTAGTACTGCATCGTGTTGACGACGGTGGGCCGGTCGAAGCCGAGCTCAATCCACGAGCCGACGCCCTCGCCGTCAGACGCCCACGCCTTGCCGCTGTCGGCCTGCGAGCGGTACGCTGCCGTCTGGCCATCGTAGGCGTTCTGGCAGCCGTACTGGGCGGTGTCGGGGCCGTAGTCGAACGAGCTGGACGAGCAGGACGTGATCGCCGCCACGGCGCCGCACTCGAGGGGAAGCCGCGGCGGAGGCGGCGGCGAGGGCGGCGGCTTGCACACGTAGCTGAAGGTGATCTCCTCCGCGCCGTTGTTGGCGGTGCCCCACACGGCGGTGACGGTGACCATGACGCTGGTCGTGCTCGCGTCGGCAAAGGTGTGGGTGGACGACTCGTCCTGGCTAATCCCGGACACGCTCTGCGTCGACCCGTCGCTGAAGCGGAGCGTGACGTCCTTGTTCGCCTCGACGCCGTGCGCGTCGCGGTTGTAGTACTGCATCGTGTTGACGACGGTGGGCCGGTCGAAGCCGAGCTCAATCCACGAGCCGACGCCCTCGCCGTCAGACGCCCACGCCTTGCCGCTGTCGGCATGCGAGCGGTACGCTGCCGTCTGGCCATCGTAGGCGTTCTGGCAGCCGTACTGGGCGGTGTCGGGGCCGAGGTCGAACGAGCTGGACGAGCAGGACGTGATCGCCGCCACGGCGCCGCACTCGAGGGGAAGCCGCGGCGGAGGCGGCGGCGAGGGCGGCGGCTTGCACACGTAGCTGAAGGTGATCTCCTCCGCGCCGTTGTTGGCGGTGCCCCACACGGCGGTGACGGTGACCATGACGCTGGTCGTGCTCACGTCGGCAAAGGTGTGGGTGGACGACTCGTCCTGGCTAATCCCGGACACGCTCTGCGTCGACCCGTCGCTGAAGCGGAGCGTGACGTCCTTGTTCGCCTCGACGCCGTGCGCGTCGCGGTTGTAGTACTGCATCGTGTTGACGACGGTGGGCCGGTCGAAGCCGAGCTCAATCCACGAGCCGACGCCCTCGCCGTCAGACGCCCACGCCTTGCCGCTGTCGGCCCGCGAGCGGTACGCTGCCGTCTGGCCATCGTAGGCGTTCTGGCAGCCGTACTGGGCGGTGTCAGGGCCGAGGTCGAACGAGCTGGACGAGCAAGACGTGATCGCCGCCACGGCGCCGCACTCGAGGGGAAGCCCGGGCAGCGGTGGCGAGGGTGGCGGCAGCGGCAGAGGCAGCGACGGCGGCGGCGGAGGCGGCGGCGAGGGCGGCGGCTTGCACACGTAGCTGAAGGTGATCTCCTCCGCGCCGTTGTTGGCGGTGCCCCACACGGCGGTGACGGTGACCATGACGCTTGTCGTGCTCACGTCGGCAAAGGTGTGGGTGGACGACTCGTCCTGGCTAATCCCGGACACGCTCTGCGTCGACCCGTCGCTGAAGCGGAGCGTGACGTCCTTGTTCGCCTCGACGCCGTGCGCGTCGCGGTTGTAGTATTGCATCGTGTTGACGACGGTGGGCCGGTCGAAGCCGAGCTCAATCCACGAGCCGACGCCCTCGCCGTCAGACGCCCACGCCTTGCCGCTGTCGGCCTGCGAGCGGTACGCTGCCGTCTGGCCATCGTAGGCGTTCTGGCAGCCGTACTGGGCGGTGTCGGGGCCGAGGTCGAACGAGCTGGACGAGCAGGACGTGATCGCCGCCACGGCGCCGCACTCGAGGGGAAGCCGCGGCGGAGGCGGCGCCGAGGGCGGCGGCTTGCAGACGTAGCTGAAGGTGATCTCCTCCGCGCCGTTGTTGGCGGTGCCCCACACGGCGGTGACGGTGAGCATGACGCTGGTCGTGCTCACGTCGGCAAAGGTGTGGGTGGACGACTCGTCCTGGCTAATCCCGGACACGCTCTGCGTCGACCCGTCGCTGAAGCGGAGCGTGACGTCCTTGTTCGCCTCGACGCCGTGCGCGTCACGGTTGTAGTATTGCATCGTGTTGACGACGGTGGGCCGGTCGAAGCCGAGCTCAATCCACGAGCCGATGCCCTCGCCGTCAGACGCCCACGCCTTGCCGCTGTCGGCCCGCGAGCGGTACGCTGCCGTCTGGCCATCGTAGGCGTTCTGGCAGCCGTACTGGGCGGTGTCGGGGCCGAGGTCGAACGAGCTGGACGAGCAAGACGTGATCGCCGCCACGGCGCCGCACTCGAGGGGAAGCCCGGGCAGCGGTGGCGAGGGTGGCGGCAGCGGCAGAGGCAGCGACGGCGGCGGCGGAGGCGGCGGCGAGGGTCGCCCGCCTCAGAACGCGTGGCCTCATCTGAAAGAATGAAAGGGTGGGGCGCGCCAGCAGCGTCCGAGACCGGCGTCTCGGGCGGGGTAATGCCGGCGGGCCCCCAATATGGGGCACGTCCAGGACCATTCGACGAGCAAGAGCAGCCGCCCTGCTCCTCCTCAACCTCCATGGCAGCGCTCGTCCCAGCGCCGCCCTCTGGGTCGGGCTGCTGAGCAGCCTGACCCGCCTCCGCGGCCTGCGCCTCGCAGGCGCCGCTCTCCGCCTCTGGGGTGCGTGTGCCACTGCAGCCCTCGCTGCCAGCCACCGCCCCCTCGCTGCCCTCAGCAGCAGCGCTCGCACCAGCGCCACTGCGGGAGGAAGCCGCTGCTGCTGCTGCTGCCGCTCCCTCCCCGCCGGAGCTCTCGCAAGCGCCCTCGCTGCCCTCGGCGCCGAGGCCGCGCGCGCCTCCAGCGGCCGCGCTGCCGCCCGCCTGCCCGCCCGCAGCCAGCCCAGACGGGCCGTCGTGGGAGGACGGGCAGGCAAGCAGTGCCAAAGCAGCAGCAGCTGCCTCAGCGCGGCTGCGCAGCGCGGGCAGCGCGCAGTCGCAGATCCGCTCGAAGTCGCGCGCGCTGATGCCGAAAAAAGAACAGGGCTACGAGAACGAAGTTCTAAAACCAAGAACCGAAAAAGAACAAGGAAAAGAAATCGTGGGGGGGGGGGGGCGACCCCTACAAAGACCCGGCCGCGCGCGCGCGCGCGCGCGCGCGCGCTCGGCTTGTTGCACGAGTATATAGGCCACGATGTCTCAAATATGAGGGGTTTTGACTCCTACCGGCTCCTGACGCTATCCCTGGCAGCTCTAATGACCAGGATCAGTAGTGTTGTGATAGAGGGTGCCCATACTAGCGCAGGAGCTGCCTCTCACAGTGTGCCGGCAGTCGTCGAGAAGTGTCGCTCACACAAGCCGCAGCACAAGTGACTGAGGGCCAGTGAGGGCGAGCCCATCGGTGTGACAGCTATGGCAGCCGCACAGTAGGCTGTGCCAACTGTGCAGAGCGTGTGAGCAGCAGAGGAGCTGCTCTCCAGGCTTCTGTCGCAAGGAGCTGCATGCCACCGAAAGCGCTGTCGAGATTCGCCGAGCGCGGCGCAGGTTGGAGGACACCGTCACCGACGAGCGCGTTGGACTTTTCACTCCGGATAAAGACGGCTACACGCACACGAGCCGCGGTCGTGTAGCCGTCATAGTGGCGAGGCGCGGGACCGTCTGTGGCGAAGTGGGTCGCGTCCTCCGATTTCCGTCAACTCAGCATCCACACCCTCAGAGCCGTACATATAGACGGAGAGTGTGTGGACGCGCGTGCCGTCTGCCGTCTCGGGAGGCAGTTAAACGCGAGCTCGATGGTCACGATGCCGCGGCAACGAAGCATGCACACGGGTTTGGTAGTACACCGCTCGAGTTGCCCCCCGGGGCGGGGGAGGGAGGTGGTGCTGGCGGCGGTGACGCAATATGGCTCACATCTCTAACCTTAGACTACTCTAAGGCTTGC